TCAGTTGGAATCTATGATGATGCCTTCTAGAAGCACTGTATGTTCTCTCTCTTAATGCTTTTAACCAAATTGGTCTTCAACAAGATGATCATTGCTCATATCTCCCATACAGGTATACCTCGCCTTACGTCGGTAATTGGTTCCAGGAAAACGACGTAAGTCGAGGTATGCCTGTACCTTGAAAGGCCAACATTTTTATCTTCATTCAAAAGGGTAACTCTTTTTCTCTGAACCCTCACCCTACCAATCTGGTATAAAAGTAGTCTTTTTTTGTATCCAGGTATCCTCCTCCTCAAATAGACCCTGCAATCAAAGGCCATAAGCCATCACCCTACCATCTAATCAGTACTGGCCCGAGGTAAGTTTTAGGATGGAGCGAGATCCTATTATGGCGCTCCCTTGGTTGCCCCTAATTTATACTCTTTAATTTTCTTTAACACTGAGGCGCCCCCTAAAACTTAGCGCCTGGAGCGGCTGCTCTGTTCGCCCTATGGTAGGGCCGGCTCTGCATCTAATGAGTTAGAGCATTATCAAGGCTAAAAACTTTTATTCATAAAATAGTCATGCCACCCTTTGTCTCCTAAGCTTAACAAAGCATTTTACACTTATTTATACACATTTTATATAAAATAATTTTTTAGGAAGTTATCCCTTCCATTTACATTTATTCTGGTATAGCTATAGTTCAACTGGCTAGTTCTGCTAGTTCATCTTTCACACAACACTTTTTGAATTGTTCTATGAAGTCTGATCTCAATCAAGTTGGACCACTGTATACCAAGCATGTTGACAAACCTTCCTAATAGTCGTATGTAGTCACTTCCTTTGGTGCACAGAATGCAGTTTTAAATATAAGAAAACTATTTTACCACTTAGACAACAAGTACTATCGAATTAAAAAACCATTATAATGCATGTGCACATGTTGTCTATGTTACAGAGCCGTTACATTTGCTTATACAATGTTGCCACCTAGCTAACAAATACAATAATAATCATCATATGACCTTGTCAGATTTTAAATCTAAGTGATTATGATTTAACTATTAACTGCTTCATCAGTTAAAAAATATGGACATTTTGTTTATTTTTTCTAAGTATTGTACAGACATGGACAGAGCCTTTAATGATATTTCAAGCCACCCAGTTTAAAATCAAAATTTTATGTTGATGATGATATATTTATAATCTCATGATATTAACAACACTATTGTCTTTGTCTTTGGTTCAGCACCTTGACTACTGTAAACAATGCTGCTGCTGCTGCTGCTGCTAGGATAACTTCCATCCATTTGCAAGTCCTTTTTATCACACCCCTTATGAATTAGTGCAAATATTCTGTGAATTCCCGTTTTTTGATGTATGGACTAGTATATAACATGTTGCCATATATTCATATCATCAAAACTCAATTGAAAGGAGTTTTGATGATATGACTATCTGACAACATTGTTATATACTAGTCCATACAAGTTTATCCCTCACTGAGCCACCAGAACCACTTTAAACTTGTGTAATACAGTACTATAAATCCATATAAATATATAATGCTTGTATTAAGTTAATGTTTCCGATGATAAGCCTAATCTTACTCATATCGAACCTAAACATATGAAATACTTACACATATTTGCTGTTGTATAAACATAAATGAACCAGCAACGAGTTGCTTAACTTTCCCGGCAACATTTTAAATTTGGGTAACGCCATCTGTTATCATATTTTATTATTAAAAAGTTTTTATATTTTCAACTATAAAATGACAATTTTGAGGGTAGGGATGGGTTTCATAAAAAGTTATAAATGCTAATAACGAGTAAAATCGTCATTAAGTCCGACCCTATTGGAGATACACACAACCCCCATTATCTCCCCATCCCTTCGACCTTTAACCACCAAAATTTAATAGCATCAATCTCACTAATAAATAAACCTTCCTGCAAAATTTCAGAAGTTTTTGACAAATCCCCAGGAATTTTTGGGAGAATAGTCCCCATCCCCCGTCCCTCACCACCAGGCTGCCCCATTGTGGGACTGGTTGAACCTGTAATGGGCTCACTAAAAGGGAACCTCTTAGTGCCCACAGGACGAAAACAGTTTAAAAAAAAAAAGTTTAAAAAATTCCAAAGTGATGTCATAAACAAGAATTAGTTGTGTTATTGAGGTGTGTGAAAAGGATGTAATGCAAAGATGATTAGGCCTATTGCTTCTTTGTGACTCTTATGTCCTTAATATTTCAATTTTGTTTTTTATTTTTTATATTGTCCACGTAAATCTTGTTTATAAATAGGATTGGTGTAACTTCTAATTAGCAAAAGAAGGAAGTCAGTAAAAAAAATAAAGCAAAATGTCTTTTGCTTTATTTTTTTACTGACTTCCTCCTTTTGCTAATTAGAAATATTTCATTCCTCAAATTTTATGTTGCAAAATGATTGATTTGAAAATATAACAGTTTTCTTACAATTTTATTTTTTGTTTTTTGTAAAGGTTTAGAAAACATTTTGGCAGCAAATTGCCGTCTAACTGTTAGAAATGATCTAACAATATTGTTTCAATAAAATATATAGATCACAGAATTTATGATGGATACTTCTGAAAATACATTTTGTTGTTCAAGAACAATTTGAATAATTTGCGTTTCAAATTTGTTTCCACATACTGTAGTTCTTCCTCAAAACTGAAATTTTATTGAGCAGCACAACACTTTCTCATCAGAACACCGTTCTTTAGATGAATATACAAGTCTATCATCATCCTTCATTGAAGTAAAAAGCAGTAATGAGTTGCTTTACTTTTCCGGCTGCTATAAGATTTTATTTAAAAAAATAACTTTTATATTATTAATTATAATAAACAAAGAGTGGTACCATCCTTATGAGATTTTGTTATCTTTTATATTATTAATTATTATAAAATGGCAAAAAGCAATTTTGAGGGTAGTGATGAGTTTTATAAAAAAAATTTAAATGATAATAACGAGTAAAATGATCTTCGTTAAATTCGTCCCATCTTGAGATCTGGCACGTGACCCTTCTATCTCATCACCCTCTTGATCTTTAACTACCAAAATTTAATAGCACTAATGCTCCTTATATACAAGTTACCATGCCAAATTTCGTTTTTAATCTTTAATTTACACCAGATGGCCGATCGGTCAAATTGGCAGCCTGCTGCTCTGGGGGACCCGGGATCGAATTCGGACGGGTCGAAAAATCCCCAGGAAATTTTTCAGTTGATGGTCTATCCGGATATGTCGGGCCCCGTCCCTCATCACCCGGCTGCCCCATTGTGGGCTTGCTTAAAGAGGCCCTCTTAGTGCCCACAGGGCGGAAAGAGTTTAAAAAGAAAAAAAGAACCATAAAATAATTGATGATCAAATGGTCGAGCGGTTAAGGTGGCGGCCTATCGCTCTGGGGGACTTGGAGGAGTCTGTTCCGGATGTGTTGGTCCTGTTCCTTATCATTCAACTGTTCCATTGTGGGTCTGACCAAACCCATAATGAACTTGATAAAAACGATCCTCAGTGCCCATAGTCCGAAATAGAGTTTAAAAACACAATAAAGAATTTTACATAACAGAAAAGTTAACTAATTATGATTGTGATTATACGCAAATTAAATTTAATTTAAATGAAAATTAAAACAGCATTTCGATATTTATTTTATATTAAATTCAGTTTTCAAATGAATTATGATTATACTGTTTGTTTTGAAGAACGTATGAACCATTATAAATTTTATTAAAATAAAATTTTTAAGCTTATTAATAAGATTTGAGATGTAATCCAAGCAAGATTTAAAAGTTTTTGCTTCATTTATTGGACGAGTAAATTCTAGAGTTTTCATTTATTTACACATCAAAACAGGAATTCTAACTTTTACTGCTTTATATCTGCTATTCTAATGNATTTAACATAAAAATTATTAAATATATCCCCTTAAAAACTTGTTATTAAAAGATCATAAACAAATTACATATTCAAATATTACGGAAAACTTTTACTAATTTATAAAATAATTACGTAAGTTATTAAATATTCCAATAATAAATTATGAAAATTCATAACTTAATGTTTATTTAATGATATTGTTAACGCTTCTGGAAAGTATGATATAAGCGTGTTTTTCAATGTAAAATTTCATAAAGATGAGCTGTGAGATGGAAAATGTTCCAAGAATAGTAAAGCTTAATGTTAAAAAATAAAACTCCTAATGGTTGGAGTCAGTTTAGTGTGTATCGAACAAAGTAGATTTAGAAATTGGATGAAAAAGTGAAGTCCGGATAAAACTATACTTATCTATTATTACTTAAGAAATTATTATTAAATTAAAACTAAGTTTTATTGTTTGCCCTACAAAATATTACAAAATTTACAATTTTAAAACTTAATTTAACTGTTGAAAATAACTCGATTGATTTATAACACAAATTTGGGAATGATATTGATTTTCACTTTAACACTCATTAAATTACAAAATTCGATTAAACTTCAACAATTACTTTAAAATTTAATTGATTTTCTAGATATTTATATATATTTACTTGAAAGATATATTTTTATGAAATTTTAAGATACATCTATATAATTGTTTATAGATTAGAATATCTGATTCTAATTGCAAACTATTCAATTTGAGCTTAAACTTAAGCTTAGGAATTACAGTAAAGTCATCTTAATTAATTGACTAATTAAATTTATTTTTGTCAACATTTATTAATGGAGTAGAGCAGAAATTCAGTCATTAAGCAAAAGTTATCTTTTATACAAGAGAATTTACTGATTATCCACCTAAATTAATATCTGATCATTGGAGATTAAATTTCATTCTAGAGGAATATTTAACTTGAATTTTTTTCAAAGCATAAAATTCAATAGATAAAGAACGAGTTTTTCTCTTAGAATTTTAAATTATTTAGATTTTCGAATCGATAAATTTTATTAAAATAAAATTTTTAAGTTTTATAATATAACTGGTATTGCCACTAGGGGGATGCTCGTTGTAGTTTTTAACCACGTGTATTTCGGTATATGGTGACTGTTTTCTTTTAATGTTTTATGATTTAAGTTATTGTGACTGTTTTTATTATTAGTAGGACTGCTAATGATTTTCCTGAAGCAGTAATTATATGCACTTTTGCGGAATGTTTTTATTTTAATGTTTCGTCAGTTTATTCATCAGTTTTCATATAAATATTGTAATTATGTTAACGAAGGAAATTCGTGAAGAGCTGCAGCTTCAGTCTGCAGATAAAGAAAATGACATTAAGTCAAGCATTGGCGATGCTTTAAATTTCGAATCCGAAGAAAATATTTCTGTTGATGTGAGATCTGAAAATGTTGAAAACAATAATGAAATACAAGTGGAAGTCAGAGACAATGATTTCACTTCGAGTTCAGACGAAGAGGGATATGAAAGTGAAGAAATACTATCTATTGATAAAACCAAAACTAAAAAACGAATTTATTTCTGCACTGAAGAAAATTGTCAAGCAAAATTTACTAGAATTGATCGCTTAAAAAGCCATATGGGTACTCATTTTTCTGGAGAGGTACGAGTGCATATATATTACACAGGGTATTACAAATCAATAACTCGGAAAATATGCTAATAAAAACGATCTATAGGAATAAAAAAATTTAGTATTTTTGAAGGGATTTTATAATGCCAAAAAAAAAATATTCTTGGCTCGTCCTATCTTCTGGATTGGATGGGAACAACGTCAAAATTTTAAATGAAACCATCCCAAATTTTTAAAATTTTTGGATATTCCATTAAAAAATAAGGTTTTATTCTTGGCTCGTCCTATCTTCTGGATTGGATGGGAACAACATCAAAATTTTAAATGAAACCATCCCAAATTTTTAAAATTTTTGGATATTCCATTAAAAAATAAGGTTTTATTGAGAATGTTTTTTTTTAAAAATGATAATTTTAAAAGTTATGAGCAAATGTAATTTGTATGTTTTGAAAGTAACAGTCTAATGAAAATGCATACAAGCTAATTAAGTAAAACAGATTTCAAAGTTGTTAATAGTTAACTTTTAATCAATTTGTAATGTGCTTCAAAAGCAGAACTCAATTTTGAATTAATTTCTGTAGTAAATTTAAATGACATTTTGCAGAATGATAGATTAGATGTAAAGAATCAATTTCGTGGCCACCTAAATCATCATACTTGACACCAATTGATTACTTCCTATGAGGTTTCATAAACAATAAACTTTTGTTTCAACAACCAATTATATTTCAAGATATGAAGCAATGTGAGTGTGAAAATAACAGCAGAAATGTGAGACCATTTGACAAAACTGTTAATTCATTACTGAAGTGTTTAGATGAAAGCAGATGTCTCTTTAAACATTTGTTAAATAACTAAAACAATATAGAATATAAATTAATTAGCTTGTGAAAAAGTTGCATTTTTATTAGAATATTATCATTCAAAACATACAAATACATTTGCTTGTAACTTTTGAAATTATGTTTTTATTGAATTTTTGGTTCTTTTCTGTTAATGAGGTGCCAGTTGTAACCTTAATTTGATGTGTGATACTGTCGTTTGCGTCACTTTGCTAAGATTATCATGTGTTGAGTGTTGACTCACTTGACTGTTCGTGTAGTACAGTATTTGATGTTATATAGTTTTAGGGGGTGTGGGACATGCCCGTACCCAGTTGCTAAAATGCAAATGATACACCAAAGCACACAAATACATGCGAAGCATGTAGAATAGGCAGTATACTGATACATGTTAAAAACTGATCTTTAGAGGCAAATATCTTGTGAAGGGTTAACAATTTTGGGAATGGTGTGAAATCCCTTGAATCTTATCTGTTGATGTACTGTACATAGCTGGTGTCCTGTTAACAGAAAAGTACTGATTTTTTTTATTAGAAGCATAGTTTCTGAATTATTGACTTGTAACACTTATGTGAAACATCCTGTATATTTAACAACTTATATTTTTAATAAATTAATTTAATTGATTTTAGTATATTTTATTATTAATATAATAAATATTTCAAAAATATTTTATATTTTTGAGATACTGTTAAATGAAATAACTATATAACAAGTTACAAACTTCTAATTGTGATATTGTACGATGCTGGGCTGCAATTTTTAAACCTATTTTAATTTAAAAAATAAGTCTTTCTATATCTGATCTAGATTTTCATCTATCTAGATAATCTATCTAATTTTCTCAAGATTAATGAAGGACAGTTGGATGACAGTGGGAATCTATAGGTCTGCAATTTGAAAATTGCAGCCTAATAAATATGAAGTAATTAATTATAGTAATTGATTATTTATAAGTGTTTTATTTTATGAAATTTTACATGCATTATATTGTCAAGTTTTTAAGGAAAAAATTGACAGTAAGCTGCCACAAGCTTTAGCTGCCTGCGTGATACATTCACTGCCTGTCTGCTAGGTACAGCTATGCTTTAGCACAATGTTTTTCAAACATCAGTCTGTGAAAAAATTTCTTTAGTCTGCAGAAAAATATTTGACCATACTGATGCTGGCATGGTTGATTATGGGTGATATTTAGATAGCAATCGAAATATCACCCATAAATACTGTAAAAGTGTTACTGTAAATACTTTGTCATGTACAATAACTTTAAATAAGCATATATAAGCTTTATAAAGAAGCATAATTTGTACATTAGAAATGTGTAAATTTATAGAGTCACTTTATCAGTATTAAATTGTAGTTTATTTTTAACTGTTTTTCAAACCATTCTGGTAAATTATATTGTAATAAGGTAAATTTTCTTTACCTTAGTACAATAAAAATAGTGCAAAGGCTCTTAGTTTTTAAAATTTTGGGTTTAAAAAGTTTATAGGAAGAAATTTTAAGTTTTGGATTTTGTTGGTGAGCTGTGTCTGATGTATATAAATGAGATTCTTATTTAAATGAACAAATTTATTGTAAGATGCTACTGATGAGGGATTAAGAGTTTGAAATTCATTTTGTAAAGGGTGCACCATAGAGAAATAAAATACCTTTGGGAAAACAATTGCTGTGTGGTTTATGTCTTTGGAAGAAAATTTACCTTAGCATATATTCAACTACTAAAAACTGGGTGTACATTAATAAATAAAGTGCATGAAACCAATCTCCAGTGAGATTTTACAAGAAAGCAAATGTTTTCAACCATGTTTAATGAGCATTATCAGGTTGATCTTTGCAGTTTGAATGCAACTCTTAAAACAAGGGGATTATTGTCCACTTGTATAACCAACAAAAATGGCTTTAGCCATGTTCTAAATGGCTAATGCTGTTTATGTTCCAATTTAAAAATCCATTCAAAATCTGTTCCATGCCATTTCTGCCTGAGGACGATTGTTCATTACTGTGTCGAAAGCACTTGCAGGAAAATAAAACATTTAACTTTATCTTTAATGCCTTTTTATGTGAATTTTTCTATTGAATCAACTAATTTTAACTTTACATATATACAGGGTGCTCCAGGAGGTAGTGGCAATATTTTTACAATGTGTTCTAGAGGCCTACAGGGTCCAAAAATGTCCTATGTCTTTTTTCAGTGTTAAAAGGGATAAAGTTTATACTAAATAACTAGTCTGAACTTTAACTTCTTCTAGTATTAAAACAATGCATTTGAAGGACTGCATTTATAGGAAATTTTTGGATCTTAGGCTTCTAGAACATGCTATTGCCACTATCTTGCACAACAGCCTGTATATATTATAAACATGTATATTTATGCAATTATTTATTATATTATAGAGACCTTTTGTTTGTTTTCATGATGATTGTACAAAACGTTACACAAGAGAATGGCATTTAAGGAGACATATACAAGCTGTGCATACAGTTAAAGAAGAAAGTGATGAAAAATTAAAGTAAGTAAAGCAAAGGTCAAATTCTGTGAGAAATATAACTCTATTAGAAATGTTTCTTTCCTAACAAATGGATAAATTAAGATGGTATGACTAAACATCTACAAGAATTCCATATCTAATTTCTAGTATCTAATTACAGTAGACATGACTATAAACTATAACTAAATCAACACCTGTTCACTCGCTGAGAGATTTATNTTACCTGACGATGATCCATTGATTGGATTGAAAACGTTTGTGTTAAGAATAAATCTCTCAGCGAGTGAACAGGTGTTGATTTAGTTATAGTTTATTATTTTCTGCTGAGCATGCTTTGGGTTGTTTAGACATGACTATACTTATAATAAACAATATTTTTTATTTTGAATATGTGAGTATCAATAAGTATATGAAAATATGAGTCAGAAATAAATATAAACAGAAAATAGAATTTATTATTTTCATTTGATATACTTACAATTTACTATTAAATAAAAGTGACTATTGTAGACCAGTGAATTTTTATTAATTCTAAGATACACTATGAGTTTGAAATAGAATTTTAGGAATTACTTATGGAGGAAAAAATTTTAAATAATCAGTTAGAAAAACAATAGTGTTTGACACCTTGTTTCCATACTCCTCTGCATATATAGTAAATTTGCTTTAGTACTACATCCTAATGCCATTTTGAAGGCATTTTAAACATTAAAAAGTAATTTAAATTAAATTCTTGTAATAACTAAGAAAGTTTATTTGAACTAATGTGACCATTGAGCAACATAACAGAAAACTTGCAAACATATCATGTGATCTGTTCATGATGTCTTCTAATTATTTTGGATTGTGAATGTAAGATGCCATTGATTTTAAGATGAACCTCTATTTCAGACAAATAAAAAGAGACAAAAAAAAAAAGAAAAATATATTTTAGAAGGACTTTCAGTCAATTTACATAATCAAAGTTAGAGGGAAGAGCCTCCAAAAACAGTCAATTTATCAGTGTTCTGTGGTTGGAAAGGATATATCAAGACATCAAATTTTACTTTTATTTAGTCTTCTATTTATATTATTTTTAAACATATCTTAGAATTGAGGAAAATCAATCTTAAATATTATTTTAATAATAACATATTTCAGTGATATAAAATAAATTAAAACCAAAAATGTTTATATGTAAATATTTCAAATATAAGTATACCTCAGGTTAAGTTGTTCTTGGTTATATGTCATTTGTCAAAAAAAATATGGAAATATAAAAATCAAGTTTCAGTCATTTTATGTAACTTTACATCTGTCAGCCACAAATATTGAAGTCATATAAATAATATCACTAGAAAAGCGTTAAAAGCACATAAAATCATATTAAAATATGTACAGTACATTTACAGTAAATGTTAATATAATCATTATAAATCCTAGAGAACAAAACATGAAAACATCTGTGACTCTGTGTTGTTGTCTTATTTAGCAGTCTTTAAGAGCTCAATATTGGCATTTTCCACAGTAGTACCAATATCTACCATTTGGCATTGTCGTCAGCACCACTCAATATTGGTAAATTTAACATAAATTAGTTTATTTTCTACTATTGCAAAATAATTTTAATAACTGTATTTGTTATTTAACCTTACAAAATCATTTTATTTTATAATGTCTTAGAGCAAACCACATTCACAACATTCACAAATAGAGTCCGTGATGTACTGTAAACATCGCCAAATTGTAAACAAGTACATTTATAAGTATGTACATACATGTAGTTATGTATTTGTAAATTTAGTTTACTTTTTTTTTCTGTACTATATTAAAAACTAAAATTTATTTGTTTGTAAGCTTAAAATAGTTTCTTATTAACCATATATTATTAAAAATGCATTTATACATAAAATACAGAACTGGGAATGGTTATTTGTGGTTTAGTCTAGTGACAAGTAAATTTGGAGACAAGTAAATTTGACTTAAGTTGCCTCTCCTGGAACGAATTATCAATGTAAGGTGAGGTATACCTGTACTCTTGATCATTTAAAAAGTTGCCATAAATACAGAACATTTAAGTTCAAAATTTCAATTCATAATAGAATTTGAGTAATAGAATGTAATCTCATTAAAAACTAAAATAATAGCAACACTATTAATTATAAATACAATTTATTTTTTTTAATTTTGAAATTACAAAATTAATTTCATATTAAAATCAAATGAAAAATATATAATTATTTTAAATTTAGTTGAGTAATAAGTTCTCATGTTTTTTTATTATCCAATTAAACATTTTTACAATAGTAATCAATTTTCACAGAGAAGTGTGACTTTTGGAGTTTAAGTGCAGGGACATGTTACCAATCAGTTAAACTGATTTGAATAGTTTTAATTTTATTTTGTGAACATTTTAATTTTCTGAAATGGAAGGAGATGACATACATCTGAGGCACATTTTGCTTTTTTGTTTCTGAAAAGGTTTAAATGCACTCAGGGCGACATCAGAAATTTGCAAAGTTTATGGCACTGACACTTTAAAGGTGAGAAAAGATCAAGTTTGGTTTGCATGTTTCAGAAGGGAGATTTTAGCTTGAAAGATGAGTGCTCTGGTTGGTTGATCACAGTCAGTAGTGATGATCTAAAGGCTCTGGTTGAAGCCAATTCAAGAACTACTACAAGAGAATTGGCTATAAAACTAAAGGTAAATCAAGAAAGCGTATGCAACCATCTTAAAAGACTTGGAAAGGTTCCTAAGTTAGACATGTGGGTTCTGCATAAGTTAATGGAAACTGATCTTGCACAACAACTAAATATTGCTGGATTATTATTCATTTGTCCAAAGAAAGATCCATTTTTAGATAAAGTAATTACTGCAGATGAAAAATGGATATTACACACTAATATTCAATGGAAATAATCATGGCTAAATCCAACAGAGCCCTCAACATCCACATCAAAAAATGGACTGCTCCCAGAAAAGTAATATTATGCATATGGTTGGTTAAGAAGAGAATAGTGTATTATGAACTGTTAGATCCAAACCAAACCATAAGTGCCAACACATGTAAACAATTTGACCATTTAAACAAAGCATTAAAGGACAAAAGACTGGCTTTAGTAAACTGCAAGGGCATTATACTACATCATGACAATGCAAGACCAAACGTTGCCAAAGTAACCCTAGAAAATATAACAGAATTGTAGTGGAAAGTTTTGCTTCATCTGCCATATTCTCCAGATTTGGCACCCTCAGATTATTATTTGTTTAGATCTTTACAGAATTATTTAGATAGAAAAAGTTTGATTGAATTGATGAAGTCAAAAATGCTATTGTGGAATATATTGCCTCAAAATCTGAGAATGTTTTCAGAAATGAATTGCGAAATTGGTAGAAAGATAGCAACTAATGATACAAAAAAAAATGGATCATATATAATTGTTTAATTGTTTGTACTTGTAAGTTAAATAAAATGTTTAAAATGAACAAAAAAAATGCAAAGGCTTATTACTTAACCCAATATTATATATGTCTTTATATATATATATAAAGACATATATAAAATATTGGGTGTATATATATATATATATATATCATATATCATTATCATTACTGAGGTGAATTAATGGATTTGATCATTTTTATCTCTACTGTTTTGGTCATCTCTGTCTTTATGAAAACTATTAATAAATAACAGGGATAAATACAGTATATTGATAATGTGTGTTATATTCCTGTTGGATGTGCCAATATGTCATACAGTAAGTTGCTCAGTAAGAAGAATTCTGTATGTTTGCGCAAGAAGTCATGTGATAGATTAAAACCTTATATAAAAGTAAAGACATGCTTTTCCATGGATTTTGCTGACAATTGCTATTTGTGATTGATTGAAAAAGTTTACCATGACAGTAGGATGTTATTTTCTGGTCAAATGATAAAGGTCAGGGTTTGTTTGTAAGTTTTAATGTTATTTTATGCTTTTGTGCTTTTTGGGCTGCAATTTGTAAAAATTGTAGATCCATAAATTCCCACTGTTGTCTGACTGTTCTTCCTTCCTTAATCTCAAGAACAATGTTAGATAGATGAAAGTTGATACCAGATATGGAAAGCTTTGGGCAAAGCTCCAATTAACTATATACTAACTTCTGGTCTACACCAGAAGTCATGTGATTTCAATTCAAAAATTATCCCATGAATAGAGTTACATAGATGTCAGGCATGACTCTGTTTTTGTCAGGAAAAGTATGATGTACAGGAGCAAAACACTAATAATTTGAGATGGAGAACATATATTTTAAATTGAATAAATTAAGAATATGATTAAAAATTGCATCCTGGCTATTAAAACAATTTTGACCATACAAATAATTTTGGATCAGTTCAAACCTTTTTTAATATTCCAACTAGAAACAGGTGGTTAATAACTTTAAACACTGATGACATGATATTAAAAACCCTATAATATACAATTGACATCGATCTTTTTTTTTTTTGAGGATTCGACGTCAATGACACATTAAAATTTTTCACATCATCACTCAGGTACACATCATTGTTGTATTTTTACACATCTGTAGACCTCTAGTGGAAATTCAGGAATTCATCATAATTAGCATGTTTACATGAATTGTAAAATTCCAAGGATTAATTCTGTTATTAAAACAATTAATTATTGGAATTTTACAATTCATGTTGTTGCATCCTGGCATTGTGAAGATATCACAATAATTTTTGCTTGTTCTTTTTTTTTTTGTATTAAGTATGCTTGTACGTATTTTAAATATGCATAATCTTTGTTAATTAAAGTATT